CGGCTTGAGCGGCGTCGCCGTCGGCGTCGGCGTAACCGCGCGGTGCATTAAGGCACGCGTGACGTCACTGATGACGTCATCAGTGACGATAACAATGCCGATAGGGATGGCGTCATCAGTGACGATGACGATGACGCCATCAGTGACGTCACTGGTGACGTCAGCACTGGCGATGTCGATGCCGATTCCAATAACGTCATCGGCGATGATGACGTCATTGCGAGGACGATGACGTCATCGTGATGACGTCATACCATGTGCCCTCACAAGGGTCACGTGACCCCCGTGAGGTCACGTGACCCTCGTGAACTGGTGAGGTTGAGGGAGAAGGGGAGGAGGTTGCATTCCCCTCAGTACCCTCCCTCCTCCTCCTCAAGAGCTGCGCTCTGATTCGGCGTTACAAGGAGTTGTCAACGGCTTTCATTTTTTACTTGAAATTCACGCTTGATTCAAGGATCCAATTCATTTTGATTGAATTGGCTTTAAGTCTGCTGTGTCTAACGGCGGGAGCGGACGCAGGGGACAAATATTTTTCAGACTTTTACGTGCAGTCCATCATCAAAATCCCTGTTGCTTAAGACAGCTCTCATGTATGTAAGCATTATCGTCATTTTGTTAATAAAATTCCTTATAGAGAGCTTATTTGCAACGTATATATTCATCCTAGGGTAAAGTGTAGCATATATATAGGTGTGAACACCGGACAAAATGCGAGACGAAATTCCTCTCCTCTGCCAGACAAAATTCCCCTCCTCGCCTTGTTTCAAGCGGCGCCACCAGGTGACTTTTCGGCACGCGGCTGTACTTCGTTTCATGATAACTTGGCGAAATGTGGAGGCTGCGAACCCTGCTACCAAATAAGGGCGTCGGAAAAAGGGTCGTGACAACACCCCATGGTCGAGGCCACGGAGGCCTGACTACAACTACAGCAACAGCGCGCCGTTCGCGTCAAAAATTAGTTCTACATGCTTCTTTTTCTTTTAACGGAAATTGAACTCGCGCGATTGCACTTCTAGTGACACTACGCTACACGACACGAAAGAAAGACGAAGACACGTTAATTTTCAACGACACTCAATTCGGGTCAAGCCTCTGCCGAGAACAGCGAGCGTGTCTTATGAGTGCTGCATGAACGATCGCAGCTTTGTAATCGACCGCTTCCGCTCGAAACGCCGTCCTGCTATTAGCACCACAGATTCGCGAGCAAATTGAGCGTATAGACGCTTTACACACGCGCCAGATTGAGCCGCCATAGCCGCCCTTCTCTTGTTTTACCGAAAAGCCGAGCCACTGAAGCGGGTGTTGACGGGTCTTCACAAGGGCCTATGCTGGGCACAAGAACACATTAGCATCTAAAATGACAATAACCTGTCCTGCTGTGGTAATGATGAAGTGAAGCGAACGGAATAAGAGGGAACCAAAACTGAAGGTCAGTTATGGCGGCGCCCATGCACAGCTGCTGTAAAGCGTCTATATTCGACGTCTCATGAATTGTTCCAAAATAGATCGCTACTCTAGCGGACGGCAATGCTGCCGCGGTGGAAGTTCATCCGAAGTTGGTTGGTTTCGTAGGAGACAACTCTTGACCAGCAGACGACGGGCGGTTCTTTCAAGCCTCGCTTTGGGCAGAGTGACAACGCTCCTGTGACGCGCCTCTCTCCCACGCTCTTATTGGATTTCGCGGCCGAAGCCTCCATAGTTGGCCAGGTTATCGTGAAACGGAGCATTCGTGACTCCAGCCAACTATAAGGGGAACGCTGGTCAGGCAAAATAAGTGACGAAAGGAGGTCGTTTTCGTCATTTCGCTCGCGGACCACCATAAATTTCTTGCACTGCAGCGTAAAATCGGCGTCACATATACAAACGAAGCGATTTTTTTTACTGTGAAAAACTTCTTCGAGTCAGTGCGTAGGAGTGTGTTACGAGTAAGGAAATAAGACCAAGACAGGCCAAGTCCGATGGTGTTCCAGGCCCCTGGTGAGCTCCTCGCGCCACCGGCGCCCGTGGATTGCACCTGCGCCCGTGCATTGCACACTCGCGCCACCGGCGCGTGTGTCAACGGTGGCGCCTGCTTTTGTATATAGCAATCGTAACAGAATGACACGGCGGAAGCATAAAAATATTTACTGGAGACATTGTTTTGTTTCTTTGCTGCCTACGAGAACCAAACACACAATAGCTGACGACAGAGTCGAAACGAGTTCCTGTCTCTAGCTTCTCGGCGTTGCCGCTACGCGGCGTCGATTTCGCTGGTGTCGCCAATAGTGACAGCCTGTCAAGTGCCAGGTTTCACATGCTTCTCGAGACATCCTTGTTTTAGAGCGCAGCTCTCAGGCTCCTGTTTCCGGCTTGAGTGGCGTCGCCGTCGCCACCGGCGTCGGTGGAACCGCGCGGTGCATTACGGGTGGATTCCCCCGCTAAATTTAGCGGAATAATTTTTCTGCTAAATTTACCAGAAAATTCCCCCGCCAAATTTAGCGGAAAAACTTCCCTCCTAAATTTAGCGGAAAAAAGTCTCCACTAAATTTAGCAGAAAAATTTCCCCGCCAAATTTAGCGGAAAGCTTTACCCTCCACACTAAGCGGAAAACATTCTCTGCTAAATTTAGCGGAAGGAGTTCCCCGCTAACATTAGCGGGGAAAATGTCCCCGCTAAATTTAGTGGAATTTAATGGAAAAACTTCCCCGCCAAATTTAACGAAAAAATTGCCCCACTACATTTAGCGGAAAAATTTCATCGCTACAATTTGCAAGAAAATTTCCCCGCTAAATTTAGCAGAACATTTTCCCTAGAAGGGGGGGGGGGATATCTTACCCTCCTGCTCCTCAAGCGCTGCGGTCTAATTCGGCGTTACATGGGATTGTAAACATCTTTCATTTTTAAAGTCGTTTTCTGGGTGCCCGCATGTCAAGCAGATTTTGGTACTTGCGCTATGCATGTTGCTTAGACACTGCTTCGTCATTGACCCTAGTATTCGCAGTGGTAAGATTGAAACTAAAGTGCGTGCTTATGCTCCAAACGTTTTTTTTTTGTTTTGTTTTATGTTGCTCCAGATTTTTTTTTTCTCCTCCAGAAGGCGCTTCAAAATGGTTCATACCAATCCCATCACTGCTCATTGAAGGCGACTCTCAGCTACGGTGTAATATATAGGATGGCTGTAATACCGAGCCTCGATCTAAAATGGGCCGTAAAAAATGGCGCCTGCATGTAGCAATCTAAACTTTGCGTCAAATTTGTATTTCCCAGTTCGGGTTTGTCTCGCAAAATTACTAAGCGTAGCTCTCTTTCTGTAAAAAAATTGTGCCAAAAATCTTGCCAGGGACAACCGCGGGCGGCGACGCACACTACCGAGTCCAGTGGCGGGGCGCGCTTGGTGCATGTATTGATAGATGGCGCCAGGAGCAGCATTGAAAGGTGTAGCCGACCAGCGAAAAGAAAAGAGAGGACAACTAGACGAAATCCTTCGGCAGCAAGAGCGTGGTCGTTATGCAACTGCGTATTTTTTTAACTTAATGTCTTGCTCTTATTGGTTCACACTTTTTCATAAACCAAAGGGAAGCACCAAAAATGTTATGTACATGTAAATAGACCACGGTCGTTGCGAGAAGTCTCGGTTGGGAGCGTGAAGGTAGCTTCTTTTCTTACGATTGCGTCAGGGATCCGATGATCGAGAACGTCGATGGTCTGCCGATGTTGGTGGTCATAAAAATGACTGACAGGACTCCATCAACGGGAGCAAAGACAAAAAAAAAAAAACTCTATTTACCGGACAGACCCAATCGGTGGTCGACCGACGTTCTTCACGACCCTCTCGTCTTTTTTTTTTCTCTTCCCCCATCTCTCGCACGAGCCACAGCCGCGTCACTCACTTTGAAGTCATAACTGAACGGGAAGACGAAACCGAAACCTTGCGTATGTCGCGCCTTTAGATTTATGGTTGTCGTTTACGTTGACCTCCACACCTCCCAAACAAGTATAATTTTGGGGCCTCAATGTCACAAAATTATCACAAAAAATAAAAAATGTCCACCCGTCACACCCTGGTCAATCCCGCTCTGGTAAGGTGATTTTGAACGTGCCCACAAAGGCTCTAAACACCCCGCTGCTACCAAAAGTGCCTTAAGACTTGCATCGTACGGACTGAAACGTGCTTCTAAAAAAACATTAGCAAAGGCATATGCAAAACATATCCTCTCTCTAGGCGAGGCTACTTCCTCAATTCCGCAACTGCCCGATTAATCATAAAAAAAGCTTAACCTAAAATTTAGAATCGATTAAAAAAATTTGGTTTTCGTATGCGACGAGTTAAAACCCATTGCTTGACGAATCGGTGCGGTCCGTGTGGACCATTTGGACATCGCGCGCCACAAGCTGGTTCATCTCGAAGGCGCTCAGCTGCGGCACCCGAACCTCCGCCGGGAGCTCTGTGGCCTTGGCCTGCTTCTCTTTTGGCCTGGGCCGCTCCTTATTCTTGATGGCCTCGCCCTCGACCACTTTCTCGGGGTCTCAACCCTTGGTCGAAGTGCTTTTCACCCCTCGCCGCCCACGCCGCCGCTAGGTCGCCGTCGTTTGCACACAAAGCACTTGCCCGTCGACCGTCGGGCTTGCGGTCCACGGCCGAGGCGGACACCATCGAGAAGAGGCCACGCAGGTTGAGACGCCCTTTCACCTTTATCTTGGACGCCCTGCCCTCGGCCGTGCAGACAATTTTGTTCACCGTGAAGCTGTCCAGCTGCAGGTCTGGGTGGGACACCGCTGCCTCCTGCGGGTACCTGACCTCGAGTTTGAAGGGCTTGCTCCGTAAGAATGTGAGCATCTTGCTCAAGGGCAGCCGGTGCCAGCAGGGGAACACCTCTGCCCAGCTGTGCTCTCCCTTGCCCGGGTCCTAGTACAGCTCGATGGGGTAGGGCTGGGCGTCCACCACCGAAAAGCCTCGCACCTTGAAGATGGGTGACAGCATGGCACACTGCAGGACGCAGCCCCAGGCCACCGCCTCTTCCTCACAGTGTCGTCAAGGGCTCCCGTTGAAGCACCTTGCGGACCAACTGTTTGACCGCCGGAACCAGGACGCCGCCTCCGACCAGCTCCACCGACTCCACGTCCGTCGGCCGCAGCCCGGCCACCTTCAGCGCCCAGGCCATGCTGCGCTCGGCACGCGCTAGCAGTTCGGTGGACATGGCCTCGAAGGTCTCCCACTTCATCTTTCCCGCAACGTCTCCGTCGTTCTTGAACCACTCGATGTTGAGCGGCAAGTCGTGCGAGTTGGCACTCATCCGCTTCTTGAGCCTCTCGCATTCGGTGATGCGGAGCATGCGGGCGCTCCAGTTGGCGGCCAAGTCCAGCTTGTAGCGCTTCTTGAACTCCTGGATGAAGTAGCGCACCAGCACCATGTTGAAGTCGCGGCCTTTGACTCCATCAATGGTGGTGGCGAGCATCTTGAGCCGCTCCTTGTTGAAGGACTCTAGCACCACCTGGAGCGCACAGTGGCCCATGTCCACGAAAGCCACCACGCGCGGCATATCCTCGCGCAGGTCGTTCTTGTAGAAGCCAAAGCTCAGCACTACGGCCATTGTCTACGACCTCACCACCTTCGTCAGTAAGCGCGTCTTCAGCTTCACAAACCATCGGTTCCAAGTCAACCCTACCGCAAGCCAATTTTCGGCTGTCGTGGTCATCGTACGTCAACAGCATGTCTATGCCGTTAACCAATTGTTCAGTGACGGAGCACAAGAGCGGCACCTCTCGAGGGACGCACTCAACGTAGCTTGTAGGAAGAGTCATTGGTATATGGCGTAGAACGGCGCTCACGCTGTCCCCCAACGCCCCTGTCAGTGTCACCCTTCCGGACGACCCATTCATTTCAGGCGCCACCCCATCACGCACCACGCTAATCTACGCTCCGGAATCGATAACCGCCGGCACCATCCTCGGGCCGCATTTCAGCATCACTCTCCGCAACTCAGTGCGCGCACCGTTCTGATTGACATTTATGTCCTGGAGGCTGGGACATACACTGCTGAGGTGGTGTTAAATTTTTTGAGATGTTACCGACCTCGGAGTTCTTTCTTTGTCCTTCATCTGCCATCTTCCATGGAGAGTCACGAGAAAACTTTCCCATTCCCTTGCAGCTGAAACACTTCACCCCGGAACCGTCAGGTTTAGTGCCCTGCCTTGGGTTCTCGTGTTTCTTCTCGAGAGAAGTGGCCTTTATTGTGTTGTAGGCGCGACCCTTAGAGCCTGACGGGTGATCTCGCTCTTTGCATCGCTCGTCCTCGTCGAAACGGTCAGCCAGCGAAGCCACCTCTGCTGGTTTAAGCCATTTTTCAGTCTCATTTAGCGTTACATAGGTCTGCATGTCGACGGGCACAGAATCCCTAATGCGGTCAGACACCATTAAAGCTAGCAAGACTTCAAAAGTGTCAATGGAGCGAATCCGAGCATAATACTCAAAACAACTCTCGACCCGTGTCGCAAACTGAGTCCAGGATTTTTTCTGCATTCTAGTGGCTTTGAGAAAAAGCCTCCTGTACTCAGCCGGCGACAGTTTGAATTCCAAGAGAACTCGCTCCTTAACCGCACCCTAATCACTCGCTTCGCCGCCAGGCAGCCTATGAAACAGCCCACGCATGCGCTCAGTAAAATAAGGTCTCACGAGCGAGCCCCTCAGGCGCTTTATATCTCGCAAAGTCGTTTTCGAAACCGTCGAACCAGCTTGGAACGAGTAGTTCGGACGACGGGATTTCTGTCAACACACCTTTCATAAGCCTGGAAAAGCTAAGCACCTCCTCCCTCATTTTGAGTTCTGCGCCGCTTCCACTGGTTCCGGGTCTATTTTCTGCATGAACTCGCTCTACTTCAAGCTCTAGCTGCAGTAGCCGTTCTTTTTCTCTTCCGAGCTCGATCTCTCTTTCAATAAATAAGCTACTCGATCGGCCATCCCGGTCCCCTTCCTCGTGCGTCCCCACAGTCGCCGCTGGTCTACACTAAGGTGACGTTCACCCCGCTCACCGACATCGTTATTATTAGCTCCATCCCGATCCAACGAGGTACGCAGTTCCCCACTACGTAGCTCCATGGTGGGCACCAGTAAAAATAATAACTTTACCTTTGCAGGTTAACAGGTCCCTATGGCAAGCACGCACAGTCTGTCGATCCGAACAGTCCGGCCCGATAACGGTGTCCGAGTCGTGTAGACGCTTCGCAGGGTTGTCAGTCTGCAGCACTTTTGAAGCCGCGTCGACGCGAAGTATCGGTGTTCCAAGTCTTCTTAGTTGAAAACGCTGCTGAGGCCCAGGAACTTGCCGCCTTTCTTGTTGAATGGAGTCGCTGCCCGCTGATTCTGCTGGGTCGTTCCGGCCGGAGGGGCCCGCTGATGCAATCCTGTCGACGGCACCAGTGAAGGTTGGTTCTTTTCTTACGATTGCGTCAGGGAGCCGATGACTGAGGTCGTCGATGGTCTGCCGATGTTGGTGGTCATAAAAAATAACTGACAGGACTTCATCAAGGAGAGAAAAATAAAACGACAAGTCTAATTACAGGGAAGATCCAATCGTTGCTCGACCTTCGTTCTTCACGACCCTCTCGGCATTTTTTTTCTTCCCCTTCCCCCACGTCTCGCACGAGCTACAGCCGCGTCACTCACAAGTCGTCACTAAGGAAAAGAAAGGCGAAACCGAAACCCTGCGTATGTCGCGCCTTTGGATTTAGGGGTGTCGTTTACGTTGACCATCAGAGGAAAAATAGCGCCATCTACCAATACGTGCGCCAAACGGGCTCCGTCACTCGATCCGGTCGTTTGCGTTGCCGTCCACCGTTGAGCCGGGTAGGATTTTCGGCTCCGCATTTTACAGAAAGAGTGCTACGCTTTCTAAGTTTACAAGATAAAACTGACCGGTGAAATGCACCTTTGACGAAAAGTTTAGATTTCTACGTGCAGGTGCCAATTTTTACGGCCCATTTTAGATCGATCCTTGTAATTTCAAACACCCTATATACACAGGGTGTTTCCGAAAACCCGGGAAAAATCGCTCCTGCAAAAGCTACGCATTGCACAAAAAAAATTTAAAAACAGTTAATACATTTGTGGTCAGTTTCAAAGGGCCCATTAAGGACAATTATGAGGTTTCAATATATTTAGGTGAATAATTTCCTTTGAGTAATTCAATTCTTAATTTTTTTTATTTAAAGCGATGGTTTTAATTAGAATCTAACTGGCCATAATAGAAAACTACAAAATAGACTTACCTTACAATGATAAATGAGGAACGCGCAGCATTTTACGGCGTTCCGGAAAAAAGTTGTATCTGGACGCGTTTCGCGGTTTTGTTTTCTTATCGGGGCGCATCTCCGCGCGGGCGATCCCGCGCCGAAATCTAGAAACGCGTCCAAATTAGCGCTTTTTCGGAACGCCGTAACATGCTGCGCGTGCCATTTGTCATTGTAACGTGATGGTATTTAGTAGTTTTGCATGATTCCCAGCGTGATTCTAATTGTGACCATGCCATTAACAATTTATTTACTCAAAATTATTGAATTAACGAATTATATTGAAGGCTCATCATTTTCCTCATGGATTTTGTGACGCAGACCACTACGGCGTCAACCTTAATTTTTTCTACGCGATACGTGGCTTTCACAGGAGCGATTTCGCCCGCGTTTCCGGATGTACCCTGTATAGGTGTGGACACCGCACGCCTCGCAGCTGCTAGATAAGGTCCTCTCCTCACCTCGGTTGCAAGCGGCGACACCAGATGGCTCCTCAATAGGCGGCTAATGGCGGCCTGTCGCGGGCCTAGTTTTAGAGGTTTCTTTCTGGGAATCATGCTTGGTTTCAAATTCGTCTTCTGGACGCGCCACGTCATGTAGAGCATGACACTTGTACTACGTGTCTTCACACGACTTCGTAATTGACCCTAGTTTTGTACTTCAATGGCTGTAATAACAGGTTTATAAACATGTTGACGCATAGGGATCTCTGGCGCGGTGCTCAAGCCAGCGCCATCCGAGATAAAAGTAGACGCTCCGGATGGAAAGAACACGCGCCCGGGCCCCATGTGCACGAGGCACTCTCTGTTTTCTTTTTAAAGCGATAGCGTTGAGGAGCCTGGGTCGCCAAAAAGCCGACGTCGGCGTCGGTGGAGTGGGGCGGGGAAATCCCGATTGGTCGACAAGGTCGTGATGTCACAGCCACACGACCTCGCTGGAAATGTCAAACAACCCACAACGCTGACGTGAAACGTGAAGTCACGCTTGGAATAAAAGTGACCAAAACATGTAGTTTTGGTCACTTTTCACGTAGTTTAGGTCACGTCCAACCAACCAGCCAAGCAAGCTATCCTGTTACCGACCAAAGCATGATATGTAGTGGGATATAAAGGTCGCCGAATGTCTCAAGTGAGTTCACTATATAAAGTAATTCATTTTTCGAAAAAAAAAAAAAATCCCACGAATGTTAGACGGAGCGGGATCCAAACCCACGATCCTTCAGTTGCGAGCCACACACGCTACCGACAAGTCTGCGCAGAAACGCTTGCAAGGCTTGAAAACGACCGCCGGTTTATGTTCAGCTATGGCGTTCCACTCTTAAAGGCGAAGCTTAAGCGTCATTCTGTAATTTACCTGTTTCTTTTACCCTCAATTGCTCCGTCTGGACGAAGGAGACGCTGTCGGCTGAAGCTCCTCGCCGCTCTCCAATGGGACTTTATCTGGGCGATCACGTGCAGCCTTCGCCGCGTTGTGTATCCTCACATATATAACATACACCATGGTATCGGCTCCTGACGGTAGCGCCACAGCAACAAACCAGGAAACAAGCAACAAGACAAGCCCAAGAAAACACAAAACAAAAAGTCTCGACAAAGGCTAGGAGCATGTGAAATAAATACATAAAGTATAATTTTATTTCATAATTAAGCAAGAATCAGTCCTTATAGGTACAAATAATATAGACACTCTTTACTATCGTTCAGCGTGCTGTCGGCTCCAAGTTTTTTTTACTAAGTCACAAAAAATGAGTCCGTGCGGTGACGCCGCAGAAACACATCGTCGCCGATCCCTTCTACTACAACTGAAATTACCTTTTAACGTCCTGAGCCCTCTATCACTATCCCATCCGCACAGGATAGGTCAGCTAATACCGCAACTTGAGTAATAAAAATTATTTTTTAAAACTCTCAAACATGAGTGTTCGAGTAACCGCGAGTGGCGGCGTGAAGTTTGGACAACACTGTACGTGCTTTGTTCAACATTCGAGGCAGTTCTGTAGCTCCAAGTGTGTGCCAAAAATTAAGATAAACGACGCCAGTGATGTAAATATTTTAGTACAAAGCAATCGCCACTCAATTTTTTTTGTTTGTTTTTTTATCAGAAGAACGTAAATGCTTTCTTAGAAGATAGTGTATTTTAAACAAATTTCTAGGATTTCAGTGCCCTAAAACATTACGCGCACGTGGCACAATGCGGGATATATTTTGTTAGGTGTAAAACTATTGCAAACGTATTATGGTAACTTCTGAAAAGTATCTCTGACAATATCTTCGAATTGAAAACATCCGCCCGGTGTACCCGATTA